ATTTTATGGATGAAATGAGAGTGATTCTTGAGGACCAGAGGGATGGGCCTGTGGCTGGATCAGTAATGGGCATAGAGCTCCACTTTGACCCAGACGCAAGCAAGGTGGTGGTGGGGTACTGATATGGGGTGTCATTATTGAAGATAAGCTAGTTGAACCTTTTCAGGTTGAAGATAGACTCAAAATCAACTACCAAACCTATTGCCAGCCTTCCTCACCTTGGCCATGTCTCTGAGCACTGAACACCTTGTACTTCTAGGCAGTTCTGGAATATGACAGCACTAAAAGATATTGGGTTTCTAGTAACTTCATGTTTGATTCTTCTCAAATCTTTGGCAGTTAATGTGCATCTTTTTTTTCTCAATACATTTCTTGCGACCTTGTTGACTGTTTGCAACAAAACATTTGATGGTTCTTCGATCACGCCCCAATATCTTAGGTAATTTCAAGAGAGGTGCATCCCTCTGAAAGACTTTAATCTCCCTAGGCCACATACATTATTACACAAATACACATCACCTGATATGCTTATATCCACTATGCATTCAAGTGTATACAGCTTGGAGGTGGAAAATATGAATGAAAATGATACGTTCTCACTTGTGCATATATAATTGTGCATATAGTATAGAAACGAAGACCCAACTTGAGACTTCTCAAACTAGGCAAGAACCCACATTAAAGGGGTTTAATCATAGTTTACCATATCTTATCTGAGTGTGCTCATTTGTGAGTGTATTTATATGTTAATATTTAATTTAGTTAAAATGATGTAGTTGTGATATTTTCAATTTAAACATAGTTATAATTCCATGGATGTATGAAAACAGGAGACTGGATTCTCAAAAATTAGAGTCTCCCAGATAAATGCCAAGCCAATTAATGTCAGACAATGAACTTTGGTTCTGCAAAAATGTTCTTTTTATATATCTTCAATGGATTATGACATAATTTAATAAATCATATTTGATAATGAGTTGTTTTAAATGGCAAACCAGCACTTTTAGCAATCTAGTGCTTTTGTGGATAGAGATTTCCCCACCTGTGAAGGATGCTACAGACCTATTTTTAAAAGGGCAGCTCATTATTTGAAGGCATCTTCTTTTGAAAAGCTATCCAAAGTCTTATTTAAAAAGTATATGTTAAAAGGAATAGCAGAAGTCTTTAAACCAGTGGTTCTCAACCTGTGGGTCGGGACCCCATTTGGGGTCAAACGACCATTTCATGGAGCTCACCAAACCACGCTGTCCGCCATTTTTTCCCTTTTCCCTAGCTGTCCTACTCCCTCTTATTGGTGGCCACACCCACTTGGGGGTCACCACAACATGGGGAACTGTATTATGGGGTCACGGCATTAGAAAGGTTGAGAACCACTGCTTTAAACTGTTCTTTAAATTACTATATTTCAAATAACTGATTTATTCCTATACATCTAAATGCAAATTTGACAACTTTGCCCTACAGAATTCATGCTGAATCATTTTTATGAGAATAATTTCAGCTTTTAGAAATGTGTTAGCATTTGTTATTAAATTTACCAATGGCTGATTTGAAATTAAGACATGTTTAAGAGAAAAATATTCAGAACAATGAAGATTTGTAAATATAGAGAAAATTGTTTTAAAAATATTCTTCCCCTCCTCTTTCTCTGGATCCACATATTCCTTTTCTACAGCCCTTCCAAAAAAATTATTGATCCAGAAGTCCATCCTTTAACTTGGTGTCCTACAAATGTTCAGGACATCATAGTGGTATCCAAATCAAACCACTGTGATACCAAATGGATGGCAATGATATAATCTCACAAATGCCACAATTAAGTATTAGCATCAGGATGTCTTATTCAGGTATGGAAATTGTGACATTTGCGTGATTATGTCTGTGTGAACGTGCCATTCTTTGTCCATCTTCCAGGTGTTACTGATCTTACTATCTAGGAATGAACAAACATCTCTGGAATTATAATGTTAAAAAAGAATTCTAAAGATGTTAGTTTTTCATCTTTGTAAATTAGGACATTCCACAGTTGATGAAATTAATGTAATTAATCAATGAGGGTCTAGGATCCTCCCTGCTTCTTCAAAGAGGAAATACACACTTTGTGTTCAAATCTGAAGCTGTTTCTGTCATCAGATCACAAGGACAAAAGGACTGGGACAACCCTTCTGAAACTGCCTCTTCAAAGTGATTTGATGAAGGGTACTTTGTGTGCACGAATGCACATAGGACTCCTTTAAATACCTTACTTAGCTTCTTTAAAATGCATAGCACTTCCAGAAATAAGTCAATACTGAAATGAAATTATTCCTCCTCCATTGGCCCATTCACGTTTTACAAAAAATTGCATTCATGTGAAAAACATGCAGGAGAGCTGGATTTCTGATTTTGCCAAAGAGAAGTCTAATGACCACCCACACAGTTGATGGTCTGCACAAAGTCCTTAGAAGATCATATCCCCTTCATTTCAGACCATGAAAATGTTCTTGGTGGTAGAGACAAAACTGTTTCTACATTCTCAAGAGCATTTAAGTCCATTGCAAATGAGGTACACTTTTTTTTAATATCACCTCAAAAATGGACCCATGATGAACCAGCCACTCTTATGATAATACTATCTCAGAATATTTTAGAAATCAGCAATACAATTACATTTTCCTTATTAAATAGCCACTGTGAAATAAAGTTTCATACTGCAAGATAAGCATGCTTTAAGATAAGAAACACACGGACTGTTAAAATAGACGTGGCTACAGCCCTTCTAATCCTGTTAAATGCAAGAGGATGAAGCAATTAAATACCCATAAACTCAGTACAAAGAGACTTGCAGCCGTTCTTTCATAAAATTTCTTGTCCATTTAGATATTATCAGATCACAGGTTATGTTGCCTCTTCAAAGCACCAAGAGACAAGAATGTTTATATCATCTTAATTATGCTTTTTCCATCATTCCACCATTATTCACCCTTTGGAAAGCATTTCAGAGATTAAAAAATCATATACATAAAAGAATTATTTCAAAAAAGCTTAGAAAATCTGGAGACTTATCTCAACCAGCACAATTCATAACTGCTACAAAGAGAGAATAGCACACGGCAAAAAGGCTGAAGTCCTGCTGATATACAAAATATTTTTAATCTAAAGAAGAAATATTTCTGCTTTAGCTTCTATGCATTTCTATACACAGAGGATAGAACAGCAGTCCTCAACATGTTGTTAGGACTTAATTCAACACAATTCTGGTCCTAACCATTATGGCTCAATATGTTTGCATTTGCCACATTTTCTATTTATTTATCACTTGAAAAGATATATTACTTTAGAAAAAAATCAATAGTTTCATCTAATAATTGCTTAATTATTATTTCATTTAGATTTTTTAAATTCCACCTTTATTATTTTTCTAAATAACCCAAGCTGGCAAACACATCTATTATGCCTTGTTCCTCCTATTTTGTCCGCAACAACAACCTTGTGAATTGAGTAGGCTGAGTGAGAGTGACTGGCCTAAGTCACTCAGCTGGCTTTCATATCTAAGATGGGACTAATTAATCCTAGAAACTATAAAGGAGTAAATTCACCCATTTGGTAAAGGGCATGTGTTCAGACATTTTGTAGTCTTAACAGCAAAATATGGCAGACCCCATCAAAATTTCCCCTCAGGTCCAACCCATTTTGGCTGGGGAAGTCCCATAACATGTTATGTAACTCTGCCTTATTGTCTTTTCTTCCAGATGATTAAAAAAAATAACAACCCACAAGGGTTTATGTTGTATAAGCTGCCTTCAAAAGGATGTTTCATGTGGCTTATCACTCAATACCCAGAGGTTTTATGAACGAATAAAAGCTATCACTAAACAACCAAAATAGGAACATTCTGCAATAGTCCTCTTCCCCAATTCCTCCCAAAGCAGAAGTATTTCATTAAAATAAAAAAGGGGGGGGGGTGAAGAGAGGGACCTGCCAAAACGTTCTTTACCTAACTGTAGTAAATATTGGGTTTTGTTTTTTTTGCAGGATCCAATCTGAGTCCGGTCACCAGGACCAGAGTTTTAGTCTTCCAAGCTTTCCGACTCCTGCTGAGGACGGAAGACTAAAACTCTGGTCCCAGTGACTGACTCAGACTGGATCCTGTTACATTATCCTGGGACAAGTATATTTGCTTTCATTCATTATTCTTTTTCTTTGAAAATAATAATAACCTTGCCATTACTTGTGGTGGTAGCAGCAAAGGGCCTATGAACAGCCTGAGCTTTCTCATTGCCATTTGATCTCTCTACTGTGGTGCTTCCTAGTGTTATTTTGAGAGAGTTAATGCTCTAATGCAATGTGTGTGTGTGTGTGTGTGTGTGTGTGTGTGTGTGTGTGTGTGTGTATGTGTTACTTTATAACTCATAAACATAGGTATTATAGAATGCTGGGATTTCTAGAATGCTAGGATTTCCTGAGTCTCCTCTCCAAGTCCACCTGTGCTAATTTATTCTAAGGCTGTTTCAGATTCATCAGGTGTTGCCATATATCTCAAGAACATAACAATGCTCTTATCTAAATCTAGGGTCAAACTAACCTCAACTTTAGGTTATGGTTCCCATATCTCAAAACAGAATAATGTGATAATGAAAACAAGTAAACAAAAAAAGGTTACCCAAAATGTTTAGAGGAGCTTCTCTATGTAGAAAGAGCGTAATTGATATTCTCAGTTTGAAGTAAAGTAGGGGAAAATAAGCGAGACATATGGAAAATATGACGGGGATATCTTACAAAGTTGTAAGTCAGTATTTCTTTATTCAGTACATAAACTATGGCTTTTTCATCTATCAGATAGGGTGATGGTTACAATTTTAAATAACTTTAAAAGGGGGCTGTATAAATAGACAGACCATCAGGCTACAACTTCTGGGGGGCATATACTACCTCCTGAACACAGTCAGCATATACTGATTAGCAGCTACTAGGAAGGGCAATGGAAAGGGACATATCTGCTGGGCTACTGGGTGACACAGAATATTCTTACAAGACTCTTTGGGTTTATTGTGCAGGGCCCTTCCTACGATCTAGAGTCTGAAAAGCTTGTCGATGTCTTAGGCATTTTTGAACTTTAACTATTTTTTCTTTGACATGTATAAATCTGTATACAAGTAGTCCTCCTTGACTTAAGTGAGTCGTGCCTGATTTTACAACTTTTTTTGTCGTGGTTATTAAGTGAATCATTGCAGTTGTTATGTGAATCATTAAGTACATCCAGCTTGCCCCACTGACTGACTGCTGGAAGCTGGCCGGTAAAGTTGCATATATGTGCCGGTTACCACGTGCCTGAATTTTGATCATGTGATCTTGGGGAATGCGGTGAGGGTTGTAACCTAGGACTAGTTGCAAGTCACTTTTTTCAGTGCTGTTGCCATTTTGATCACTAAACGAATCATTGTAAGTCAAGGACTACCTGTAGTTCCATATAAGTGGGAACCAAGAACAGTGAACCTGGCCCTTTATTTTTAGATAACCCCATTTCACCATTCTAACCATCTTATCAAACATATATAGTCTAGGATTAAGGGAAACTTTAGGACCTAAAATGGAGAGAGTTCAATAGCCAAGAGACTGCTTGCTAGGTAGATGTAATATATCAGTAATACAGCAAATGGAGTTGTCCATGTAATGGGAAGATGTAATGGTCTTCTGGCTGCCTGGGTAATGGTAATATTAATACTCACAATAGAATGAAGGAATAATGATGTTTATATAGTGCTGTATCCAAGTTCTCAACATGTTTCACATACAGTAGTGTTTTTCAGCCATGAACTTTATGATGGGTGGGCAGAATTCTGGGAGTTGAAGTCTACCCATCTTAATCCAATAGTTGCCACTATTTCAGTAATCCAACAAACTGCAAAGCATTTATCTTTAAGAGAGTGACTCAGCTAAATAGACTGAGACTTGCCTAAGGTTACCAACTGAATTCACGGAACAGCTAATCAAAAGAAGACTGGTTTGTACTTTATGAATCCTGCATTTATATCTTGAGTAAATTCTACTGTGTTTAGTGGTTTAGTTTACTCTAAGACTGAGTGTGCATAGAACCAAAGCTTCAATCACTGTCCCAAAGGTAATAATATATAGATACATATTAGCCAAATTATCCATAGTTATTAAACAACATTATTACTCAATGACCAGCCATTGAAACATTACAAAAAATTATTTGCTTTTTGATTGCTTTTGAATTCTGCTTAATTATTTTGATTTGCTTTCTCTACTATGCATGCTATGTTAAATAGCTCCAATTTTAAATTTATAAGGTACAAGTATAACATCTTAGCCTCCTAAGGACTGGATGCTTATATATAACTAAACTTTTGACCACAGGGGATGGTCAAAAGAATAAAATAGTAGTCACAATAATGCAATCAAATCTCTGCCTGTTTTTATGTGCATCACACTGTTATAGTTGCCATCTGACTTTTTTCACCACACCTGAAGCCATTCATGATTTAACTATTTCTAATGGAGGGGTCCCCAACCCCCGGTCTGTGGACCAGCACTGGTCTGGGGCATGCCTGAAGCCGGGCAATGCAAACAAGTGAACACCCATCCACACAAAACAGGCAACACACGAAACCATGCCCCCTCTAGTCCGTGGAACAACCTCTCTCTATGGAACTGGTCCCTGGTGCCCAAAAGGTTGGGGGCCTCTATTCTAATGTAACATATTTATTTATTAAGTTTTTATGCCACCCATCACATTGTTACAGTGACTCTGGGCAACTTACAATATAATAAAAAGGTAACAAAGGTAATGCAAAATGATTACAATTAAGAGGATTAAATAGGAAACTAAAGAAAAAGGATGGGCAATACAAGAATGATGATCTCTCTACCCCATCAGTCACCCCCGGTCTAGAATGCCTCCATTGGGGCCCAGCACAGCTGGCAGAACCAAATTTTCAAGCTCCCCCAGAAGGCCAAAAGTGTGGAGACCAACCTCATTTCAAGGGAGATATATTATCTTGAACCCCGCCAGCTGAAATTCTTTGCCTGATAGGATTCAAAGTAGGCCTTTGCTGCTGGAGCAAGTGGGACTGGCTAGTCCCATTGGGATGAGATGGCTCCTCAGTTGTACATTGAACATGGAGGATTAAAGGCTTTAACAGAAATCAAATCAATAAGTGCAATATATACATTGCTGATACGTATTCAGACACAAGTAAACAAGAAAACAGAAATACACATGTACATAAGCCTGGAGATAGAGGAGGAAGTTTAACAATGGAAATACAAAGGTTCCGGAGGTACAATCTATGAAAGAACAAAAAATGAAGGAAACCTTTGGACCTGCAAAGAAAGGCCCATAAGATACAATCAACTCTTGAAGCATTCAGAAAAACCAACTTACCACTGAATCAAGGAACTTAATACAGCACTGCAGCTCCAGGTGAGTCTCGCAGAACTGCCGAAAGAGAAGTCTTCCTATTGGTTGCTTGTCACATAAACTGTAATAATCTCTCTCTGGAGGAAATAAGAAGAGAAGGCAGGAAAGTGAAACATTGGGAGGCTAGGTGTATGATTTAATTATTTTAATCTTTAAAAAAAATAAATCTGGTATGAATCCTGCAGATTTAAAAACTCATAAAGATAAGTCATAGAAGTCAGAATTTTTCAGAGATCATACCCTGAATGCAGAGAAATTAGTATGGGATTTAAACACATTCCAAGAATTTTGATTTTATTTTATTTTTTGCATTTTTGCAAAAAAATGCATGTTTCTGGCTCCTACAGTTGCAAAGATAGGCTTAAAAGTGTGAGGACGAAACCTGTTGAAATCTGAGAAACAAGACAGGAAAGCTATCTCAGGAGGGTTTCCAATAGTCAGAAAACTTCAGAGTCCTTTATAGCTACTTGCAACAGTACAATGCATTTTACCTTCTAAATGCTTTCCCAGCATATACTAATGTGTGTAGTAGAGGTAGTCCTCGACTTACAACAGTTCATTTAGTGACCATTCAACGTTAAAAGGGCACTGAAAAATATGACTTATGACCATTTTTCACAGTTGCAACCTTTGCAGCATCCCCATGGTCATGTGATCAAAAGTCAGATGCTTGGCGAATGATTCATACTTATGACGATTGCTGTATCTTGGGGTCAAGTGATCACCTTTTGCGATTATACATACATACATACATACATATATACATACATACATATCCAACAATTCTAAAAATTCGAGTCCCAGGTGCATTCATTTAAAAAGACATGTTAAAACATAGATATTCGGGACAGAGAATTCTTTATTACAAACTAAGCTTTCGTTAGCGTCTGCTAACGTTGTCAAAGTATAGGTTGACATATTGATGTTGAATTTGATTACAGCCGCAAGGCTGTTAGTAGGTCAATATTGGAAGAAGGAATCTTTGCCTACTTTGCAAGAGTGGTTTTTTAAAGTATCTTATTTGGCGGAAATGGCAAAGATTTCGGCTTTCTTAAAAGAGCAAACGCAAGAGAATTTTTTTTCTGTATGGGAAAAATGGATAAATTTTATACAATTTAAATTGGATATGAAAAAATACCATTTAGCCTATTTATAATTTGTTTAAAAACTTTACTTTTTCCTTTTCTTTTCCTTGTTTTTTCTTTAAATATTTTTTCTTTTTAAGGTTTATAATTCTTTATTTATATATATTTTGTTTTTAATTATCTTAATTATCTTATAATCTTGTTAATTTTTTTTAATTAAGCCTATATTCTGCTCTGGGAAGCTCGGGGGGGGAGGGAGGGGGTGATTTGGGAGGGGTTGGGGGAGGGTTGTTTTGTTTTTTTGTGTTGTTGCTGTTGTTACTGTTTTTTTTGTCTTTGTAAAAGTTTATAAAAAATTTTCAATTAAAAAAAAAAAGTATAGGTTGACATTAGGTGAGCCTCGCCTTTATAGCTCTTTGCATGCTGCTGATTTGGCCATTGAGCGATGCGGCCAATTGTAGGAGGGCAGGGGCGGAGGGACCTATAATGCGCTCAATGGCCAAATCAGTGGTATGTATGCATGCATGCATGTATGTATGTATGTGTATGTGTGTATATATATATATATATATATATATATATATATATATATATATATATATATACACACACACACATATATATATATGTGTGTGTGTGTCTTTGGTTATTTGGGTTTTCTCCCGCGTCAAATTGGAAGTGTTTTGGCGACGTTTCGATGAAGTCCCATTCGTCATCTTCAGGCTGGTGTTTTCAGCTTCGTGCTTCTAGGAGCAATGTGTGATTGTAGCTGTTTCTTCCTTTTAACTGCCAGTGGGGGTATGAACTGATTGGATGAGAGCTTGGCTGTGTTCTGATTGGATGGAGGTGTGTTCTGATTGGTTAGGAGCTTGGCTGTGCTCTGATTGGATGGGGGGTTGGCTGTGCTCTGATTGGATGGGGGGTTGGCTGTGCTCTGATTGGTTGGGGGAGTGTTCTGTTTGGGTGGGGGCTTTGTTGTGCTCAGGTTAGTCTGAGTTGCACAGGGATTTGAGATGGTGAGCTGCATTGCTATTGTTTGGCTTCGCATTCGTGGTCGTGCCTCATCTTCATGGTGGGTGTCAGTTTGCTTCACCCACCTTCCTGGATGTCTTAGTCTACAGGAAATCCAATGGCTCCCTAGGACACACCATCTACCAGAAGAAAACACACACAAACCGCTATCTGCACGCTCTCTCACACCACCACCCAGCACAGATCAACTCCGTAGTCAAGACACTCATCTCTAGAACAAAACGCTTAGCTGATGAACAACACCTGAAAACCGAACTACACACTCTCACTAATGTACTTACATCCAATGGATTCCAAAGAAATAAAGATTACCAAACTAATCCAAAAAGAAACCCCCACTAAAACCCAAGACAGAGAACAAGAAAACGGCAAAGCCCTCCTCCTTTACATAAAAGGCACCACAGACAGAATCAGCAAGATCCTACACAAACACAACATTAAGACAGCATTCTGCACAAACAGAAAAATATCCACCATCCTAAGAAATCCCAAAGACAAAATTGAGTTAGAAAATCAAGGAGTATACGAAATCCCATGCACCGCTTGTCCCACCACATACATCGGACAAACCAACAGAAGAATAAGTGCACGCATTGAAGAACATAAGAACTCGGTCAAAAAAGAGGAACCAACTTCCTCCCTGGTCCAACACCTTAAAATCACAGGACATGAAATTGACTTTAGAAAGACCAGAACTATCGCCAAAACTGAACATTTTAATAACAGAATAATCAGAGAAGCCATCGAGATAGAAAAATGCCCACACAGCATGAACAAACGAGATGATACCTCCCACCTACCAGCCATTTGGAAACCTGCCCTTATTGACAAATGAGTCCCTAACACAAAGAATGACAACAGACCCACACTCACAAAAGCCACACAGGATGTCACCACCACACGTCCACGCAAAAAGCAAACCCAAACCCACACCGATGATGAGACACGACCACAAACCAAAAGCCAGACCATAGCTGCATCATTAGCCACTTTAAACCCTCCAATCCATACATGAAGCAAACTGACACCCACCATGAAGATGAGGCACGACCACGAACGCGAAGCCAAACAATAGCAATGCAGCTCACCATCTCACATCCCCGTGCAACTCAGACTAACCTGAGCACAATAAAGCCCCCACCCAAACAGAACACTCCCCCAACCAGAGCACAGCCAACCCCCATCCAATCAGAGCACAGCCAACCCCCCCATCCAATCAGAGCACAGTCAACTCCTAACCAATCAGAACACACCTCCATCCAATCAGAACACAGCCAAGCTCTCATCCAATCAGTTCTTACCCCCACTGGCAGTTAAAAGGAAGAAACAGCTACAATCACACATTGCTCCTAGAAGCACAAAGCCGAAAACACCAGCCTGAAGATGACGAATGAGACTTCGTCGAAACGTCGCCAAGACACTTCCAATTTGACGCAGGAGAAAACCCGAATAACCAAAGACCTACATATAAACACCCGCGAAAACCTCAGAAAACAAATATATGTTTATGTATATATATTTAGTGATTTTCTGCTTTTTTTCCTAGAAAGAAACTCAACATTAGGATGAGATTACATGGACACATTTGTTTTAGCATCTAAAAGTGATCCATGTTTAGTAAATAGTTGGTTCTGAATCCTTGCAGTGATCATAGTTCAGCGTACTGATACTGGCACTTCTGTATCACTGTTCAGTATTCAGCTTCCATGCTGAAACTGCACTAGCCTTTAAAATAATGCTGCCAGTTTTAAGTATTTCATGAGCTGAGACTGGAGTTAAGAAAGTGCAGCAACAATGGTCTAAAGTATTTAGAACACAGTTTCAGATGTCCTGGGAAATCTCAATGCAGGAGGAGAAAAAAAAAACAGTGTATCATGAAAACACCACTGAAAGACTTGTACAACTTGACATAAGCTACTGCAGCATCTGGACTGCAATAATGGAATACTCCAGTGGGCATTGTTCTATTTTGATAGCAAGAGCCCTTCACTGCTACACCCCTTAAAAAAAAAAAGTACTGTAGCCTTTTAAAAAAGTGTCCTGAATTTCTCCTTGTTCAAAAGGGCTTCTGGTAACTATAATGACAGCAAGTCTGAAAAAAAGCCACACTAAAAATAAATTGGGATAAATGCAAAAACATGCATTCTAAATTATCAAATCCTTGGCAACATTTAATATATGAGAACAGAATGAACTTGATGGTAATCTTTTTTTTTTTTACAAATCCGTAATTCCTGCTGTCTTTTAAGAAGCACAAAATGATTCCTAAATCCTCATGCTTAAAAGGAAGGTAAAGTGAAATAAATACAATGGTCTATAATTCTCGGATCATGTATATTAGGCCCATGACTAATTTGCTAGAAAATACATATTTATGAAGTAAGCATGCAGAGAATTGTTCCAAAGGCACTTCACATTTCAAGCGTGAAGGAGAGATAGTCCTGGTGCTAAGAAATATATTTTTATCCTGTATCTTTTTTGAAGGACCATTTGAAAAACAATAAAGGACTTCACATACAAGGTACTTGAGACAGGAGATGAGGTTTGAATTTGATGCATTAGCAAGTTTCAAGATTAATCTTGAAAATACTTCGGTATCACTATAACAAATAAGAATAGCATGTTATTTCAAAATAATTATGTAAAGACACAGAATGAAATTAAAATGATATGTCAAAATGGGACAAATTACAATTGACATGTCGGTAGAATTTCTCTGATTAAAGTGAATGTTTTAACTAGATTGTTATTTTTGTTCCAGACAATACTTATTTGGAAAATTGATGTACCATTTAACAACAAGAACAACAACAATAATAATAAAGTTGGAAGGGACCTTGGAGGTCATCGAGTCCAACCCCCTGCTCAGGCAGGAACCCTACACCATTTCAGACAAATGGCTGTCCAGTCTCTTCTTAAAAACTTCCAGTGTTGGAGCATTCAGCTTCTGGAGGCAGGTT